GATATGCTGTCCAACCAAGTCAGACATCAAATGCGTTCATAGCCATCCCCATCGGCCACACTCGGATTGGAATGCATCCCATCATCTTACACAAGCTTGTGAATGTGAAAAGGTCCACAGGAGAGGAGTACAATACCTCTCTGCTCGCTTACCTGCGGAGGGCCGGCCATTCACATGGTCAAGTGGGTGTGAATGTCAGATCTATTTTAAAAGATTATGGTTGGTGTTGGCATCAGATGTGGGGTGAGCAGCCTTGGGGCCAGCTAAAATAAATTTTGGATGGAGCATAAATCCAAAGCATGCTTGAGATCAAAATACAATTTGGGTGTGAAAACTTCTCCAAAAAACCCAAAATACACTCTTTAAGTTCAAGTTCATAAATAACTCTGGGTCCCAGCAGTGAGGGTGCATTCACCCATCCAGCAGCCCCTCCTGCTTCAGCCTATTTCTAACAGTCTCCCTCATGTAATACATCACTGGAAAATCTATTTCCCACACTATGTGGAGCACATACTGCATTTGCATTTATACTACACTATGCTCTCTTCCCATAATCCTGGGAGACTTGGCTTGGAAAATTCTAACCTGTTCATAAATGAATTCGAGTATCTACAATAGCTGACCACACGGTTCACTCTTCGATTTGTTGGTCCACAAATTCTTAGTGAACCTCATCTTGTTGCCTTTTCCTTTTTGTTTTTTTCTTTTTACCTCGCGGTGATGTATTAGTTTACAGCTACTAGAGGCAGTTCGAACCATTGCGAGGCAAATATTAAAGAAATTCAGCGTTATTTATTTTTTAAAAACTCTTTCACATGGAAAAGAACTCCGCTCTTGAGTGCTCAATATTTTATTAGGAACAAGTCCTTTGGTTCGTGTAGTAGTTCAGAAAATGTGCAGCCGTCTATTGTAATGCCGTGCGGAAAAATTGGGACCGAAAGAAAGCACTGCTTCAGAGCAAGCCTGCGATAATTACTCTGTGTGCTTTCGGTTCAACCGTATCTTTTATAGGACTCTTTTATTGCTTGTCTTTTGTTTTCTGATGATGTGTTAAACATCGAATATTAATCTTTGTCGGCCCACTCACTGAATAACTCTTAAATTCAGCGAGCCTCACAAACATGTTCCTATGATCCATCTTCAGAATTTCCATTTTTATTTTCTGTAAATGTTATGTGGCTCTTGCTTCATAAGCCAAAGCCAGAACCTCTTCAGAGACTTATGTTAACTTGCAGGAGAAATTTTTCAAGGCGTCCATGATAAAAGTATTCGTATCGTGGCTGCCCCTCACCAGTTCCTCAGCAGGGTGCTGTAAAGTGGATTCTCTGAGATGGTGTGCAGCTGGATCCCCCGAGGGCTCTTCTTACCTGGCAGCCAGATACTGGCTGGAGTTCAGCGTGCTGAGAATATTACAGCAGGGAGCTGCAAGGCATGCTCAAGGAATGTGGTTATGTAAAAGAAATGGAAAAGAAATGTAACTATAAATATATTCTCTATATTGTACTCTTTCTTGCCTCTCTTGTGGAGTCACATTGCAGTTTTATGGCTCGACTGTGGTTCAGTGTTGGTGCTATGCAGAGCTTTGCAGAGCTGTCTTTAACTACCCAGGTGACAGTTTTAATAATATGTATAACAACTGGACATGTCTGCTACTGTTGTTCATGCTTTGCCCCTGCCTTGGAAAAAATATGGTGCATGTGTAAGCAATGTGCTCCTGGCTTGCTGGAGGTATACATGCTACTATAGTCTCCCTGTAGGCAGAATTTCCATAATCATATCTAATTTGGCGAAGAGCTACACAAATCGACACCATCATCGGACCATATACAGACATTTAAACTGCTGTAGAGTCCCAGAGCAACTACATCATATTGATCGCAGCAGGTTTAAATGCAATTCATGCAGGAGGAAATGACGTCGGCCCCGCTGTTTGAAAAGTCATCCTGATTTTGTTTTTTTTAACTAAGTGAAGATAAAAGATTGGTGTATGAAAAGCAGCCCAGTGATTCTTATCAGAGTTTCCACCTACGTGCACGAGACCACAAACCAGGAACTCTTTGTCAAGGGAGACGTTAGGGGGCCTAACAGTGCTGCATTATGCTAATCACACAGTTGTAGCATAATCGTTTTTTTTAAGGCAATCAGTGTGAATTTAAAAAAAATAATTGTAAAACATAACCATGGGTGTGCGCAGCTTTTATAACACTATCAGCAAATTTCTGTCTCTTCAGGAACAATTACACCTATAACGCTTTGTCTGAACCACAACGTTAGTCATACAAGTGCCTTCTTGAACACTAATTTTCTCACAGTTCAGCTAATTTTAGGAGGGACTTCTTAAAAGTCTGTTAGTTTATGCAGGATTTGTGCACTTTGTTGCTTTTCAGTGTCATAGAGCATGTCATAAACTTTATAAACGTTATATAATAATGTGTAGTACAAATGAAACGTTAACCTTTTACATAATATCTTGAAGACAGCTGATATTAATGTTAAATGCCCAACTAAACACTATCACAACATAAGTGAATACTAAAAAAAATAACCTTCTTATCCTGATGTTATTATTTTATGGTATTTTGCCTCAAAAAACAAAACAAGGAAAGATGGCCCAAAGGTAACTATCTGGACACCCTGCTAAACGTCAGTTGCCATCTTCTTTTCCTTATCATAGATGATATACAGTTTATTTTGGTTTTGCAGTTTTTATATTGGTTGTTGAACCACTGTGTGCAGAGTAGTAGTTTTAATAAAAATGCTATATATATTTTTGTGATATTCTCTGTCAAGAAGACTAGAATGATAGACGTGGATGCTGGGCGTCTGAACGTGTACGGCATTCAGGAAAGCAGGTTCAGAATAAGTGACCTTTTGGAAAATAAAGCCTCACCTGGCATGCAAAGTAAAGAAGACTCTAGTGGAATACAGAATATTTAGAAAACGCCACATAAAATTTCAGAATAAGATCCAGGTCCTGGTCCTCATGTGTCCCCTATACCAGGATGCTCAGATGTACAAAAATGTGAGTTTGGATGGCAACGAAAAAGGCATTAAAAAAAAATCTATAACTAAGATTATAGAGCCAAGGTAGGTACAGCGACTTACTTCCATCATATTATTTTGATTTTAAAATGTTAAACAAAACATTGAAAAGATAAGAGAAGAAGATCGCACTGGTAATAAAGTGAAATATTCAGTTGTGATTTTTGTGAATAGTTGTCCATAGTTAGGTTATGAGTAAGAGAAGATGGAGTGTTTACTCTTGGTTGTTGTGGAAGTGTTGGGACTTGATACCAAAGTGTTGACATATGCATGTACCGGTAATATCCTGTTGTTAGATGTCACAAATGTGAATGTTTCACATGAATATGGCACTTACTTGTTCTTGTTCGGTCATTGTTTTTCACTCAAACTCTCTAACACAGGTAAATAATATTTTACTATAGCTATCAAGTCAACAGGCCAGTTTGACTGCAGTTATGTGATGGTGGTTACCTGCATTTACACTCACTGTTGCACATCTTAATCTGATAAGTAACTGAAGTTCAAGCTAATGGAAGATAAAGAGAGAAAGGATAAATGATTTTGTGAACTAAGGAGGAAGCAACACAAGGGCGTTCTCTGACTGCTTTAGGACAATCAATCACTCCTCCCAGAAAATTTAAACACGAACGCCTGGCAGAGGACCGGCAGACAAGCTACAAAAATACTTTTTTACTCCCTTATGAGGTACCTGCATAAGGTACCTGCACATCAGCTTTTGAGCTCATCTTTCATCCAGCCGTGCTTCAGAAAATCTCGGGGGGTACATGGGTAGAACAAAATAAAGTAAAAAAAATAAAAATAAGAAATGGTTGATTCGTTTTTGCGTTATTGCATTTAGAACTGTTTATAACTACAGGCGATATCTCTAACTGGGAAGCTGTGTATAACACTGAAACTGAAAATAGGATGTGATGATTTGCAAATGTCATAAACTCATTTTGTATTCGCAGTAGAGCAAAGCACACAAATCAAATATTTAAATCAAGAAAACGTAACATTTTAAGAAGGGCAAAAATGTCATTCTGAGAGTGATGGCAGCAACACATTTTTAAAAAGTCAGGACAGGGTCATGCTTACCTCTGTGTGTCATCCCCTCTTCTTTAAATAAGAGTCTGTAAATATCTGGGAAATAAGGAGACCAGCTTTTGACAGCTACCTATAGGGTGGTGTGGACACGCAAGTTTTAAGAATGAGACAAAGTGGGATTTTAAAATTGGTACAACAGGTTGTCCACTAAATATCTTGGCACACGTTCAAATCTCAGTGACCTTGACTTCGAGCTTAAGGTCAGAATAAGTTAGAACAAAGCATTGTAAGACTTTTAGACTGATGCTATGTGGTTCTCAGGCCAAATGTCCAGTAATTCTGAAGGTTCAGTGGACTTTCAGAGGAAATTAAAAACACATTGAGGAAAAGGCCATGGCTAAACAGAAACATCGCACATATCTGCAATAATATATAAACCACAGAATGCTAAATAACTAAAAACATATTTTAGCTCATTCAATGGCTGTTTGACAGCAACGTGACTCGGTTAACTTAAGTCAAACTGTAGCAACAGTGACAAGCCCTTTTCAGCATCCCTTGGGAGAACTCTTATCTGCTGTTGTCTGTGTTGCTTGAATGTTTGTTATTTTCATATTTGACTGTGTTAGATCTCTTAGAGACGTGCAGGTGTTTTCCCGTTTCTGAACATGTTTGCTTTGTTATTTGCATTCCATAACATTCAAGCAGCTAACCACTCTCCTCTTTCCTGCTGCACAAGCTTCAGCTGCTTCACTTTCATACACCCACTTTCGATTTCGGTCTTATTCTTTACAAGATCCGCGCTTTATATTCTGTTTGCCTCCTTTGTCCATCACAGCCTCCTGCCAAGTCATTTTGTCTTCTTTTGCTGTCTGGCAACGTCTCTCTTACATGTTTCCCGTTTTGTTGTTTCTTTGTGTATCCCTCAGAAGATAGCTCTCTACTCCGCCCCCGCCTCTCCATCTGTGCCACACACTTGTGTTGTTTCACAGTTACTGAAGCACACATCCTGATTGCTACCAGGTGAGGCAAACTACAAATGCACACACATGCTTGCATGACATGCGTTGGAGCACACACATACAGTCTGCAGTGGTTCAGTGGTGCATTTAGATGACATTTGCTTGGTGATAACATTGCCACTGGCTAGGTTTGTGTTTTGCACTTTGTCTTTGCTTTTTGTGTGTCGGGCATACTGCAGCTGTTGTTTTCAGGTGTTAAATGGCGCATTTTCCATTTAGGAACATTTGACCTCCAGTGTGGTAGACATGTCAAAACTCCTAGAAGGAAAATCCCACCTGACTGTGGTTTTAAATGTTCTCAGAGGAATCAGATGTGTGTTTCCACAGTGTATTTTCTTTCTCTCATGCCGTTTCTGCTCCCTCTAGCCTAGTTTCTCCCTGCTGCTTTCCTCCTGCTTGACTGGGGTCAGCAGATGAGCTTTGACCTCCTGTGTGGCCCCTGAGCGAACAGCTTGGAAGCTGCGTGAACGCATAGGGGCGGAAGGCCACAGGGGCACCCGAGATCAGTTGTGCTGTACTCTGCAGGACCCAGCAGCTGCAGAGACAGGAAGCTGTAATTAGGACTAGAAGAGGCTTAATACTCAGAGCCATTTTTTTCCCTTCCTGCCAGTCTTCCATTCTTGCTCTCTTTCTCTCTCTAGAGAGAGAAATGCTTCCACATTAGGAGACCAAAACTCGCAATTACATGTGATTGTAATCCTCTGATGTGAGGCAATTTAATGCTTCATTTATTCACCTTCATTGCTGTATATTTCATGCCTTAATCCATCAGTGAGCCCAACGTTTTGTACACCAGAGTATTATCAAAGCTGTAGGGGGGGGCGTGCAAAAAAGTGAAGTAAACAAAGGTGTTATGTTGTCAGATTTGCAAAGTAATGTAACAACGAATGCTTTTGAATATTATTGTTGAATATTATCACACAGGAAAACCCCCCCAAAAAACCAACTACAAGTAAAAGAATTACACCGTGATGCCTTTGCCTTTGTAAATGGAGGAACAGTAACTGCGTGTAATACCTGCCAGTCAGATTAACAGTATTTCGTCTCTATCTGCCATTCTGCAATTCATCTCATGTAAACAACGTGGCGCACAGCGTGACGTGAAAAAGGCACATCCCTTTGACATTGCGTGAGGAACTCTGTATTCCTCGTCCACAGGAAAATCCCAAAAAGGAGGTTTAAAAAAATCACAGTTTTCGGTGATTCGAAACGCCGTTTACGTGTAGAGGAAACAGCTGCGTTTTCAAAAATACCCGTGTAGGTGCAGACATAGCGTAAAAGAGTTGGTAGTTTATTTTCTTACTATCTGTAATTTATTGCAGATTACTTGTATTTGCTTAATTGTTTACTAAATGTTTGAGGTGTGAAATAAACCACAACAGAGCAAAGTATGGGTGTGTGTGGTTGGAGGATGTGTTTGTGCGTGTGCCTGTGCGCGTGCACGCACGGGGGGCGAACATTTTTCTTGTAAAACAAAGGGGGCCCAGCAAAAAAGTTTTGAACCACTGACTTAAGGTGTGTGTGTGTGTGTGTGTGTGGACAGACAATTTGCACGCCACTATAGTTGTGAGGACCAACAGTCACTTATAGGGGCAAATTGCCCGACCCCACGAGTTTGAAGGCATTTTTGCGGCTCAAAATGTGATTGTAGTATCAAGGTTAGGATGAGGTTATGGTTACGTTTTAGGCTGAGAGTTAGATATTCATTTGTGATTGTTGGGGTAAGTGGCTAGGGAAAGCATTATATCAATTAGATGTCCTCACTAAGAAAAAAAAAAGTGTGTGGGTGTGTCATAAAAAAACAAGACTATACCGCAATTTTTCTTTTTTTGAAAAGTAAAAAAAGAAGGAAATTAATCAAAATTTAACTATCATTTTGAGTAAATAGTAGGATAATGGCAGATTCTTGATTATAGGAACCATTGTTTCATCAATGTTCAGGTACAAGAACTGGACTTAATAAGGAATGAAAAAATAGCCAATGCACAAAGACAAATTTCAAAGAAATTCAAAAACCCTGCTCAAGACCACTTTAGAAAAAATGCAAAAGTCACTCAGGACTTGTGCACAATAAGGTATTAATCTATTCCACTTCTAAAAATGTGTCAGTAAGTTGCTACATGTTTCTTTATGAATACACATAAAGAGTAAAAGCCATCATAATATGAAACAGATGCAAACTTCTTTAGAGGCAGAGTCATAAACTTTTAATGTCCTCATGCCTCTTTATGGGTTATATCATCTCATGAATCAATTAAATGTTCATTTAGCAGCAGGTAGCAGTGATGTAAAGCATTACTAATTGATCAGCCATTTGGTTCATCACTGTGTACATCTTGGGGAAAGTACTTTAAAGACAAAATCACGATATTCAACTGCCGTTCTGTGACACAGCAACAGAAAACCCCCACAACATTGCGGTTGCCGTTAAAGTCATTTTGAAAGCTACTATTTAAACAAAGCTTCCACGTGAAAGGCTTCCTTTGAAGCTTTTGTGTGGAGGCTTAAAGTTTCCTTCAAAACCTGTTGTTCAAACCTTCAAACCTCACGTTAACAAGCTTCCATGGGAAAACTTGGGTTGTTTTTGTTTATTAAATTGGGGAATTCATCCAATGATCCAAATTGTATTTCATCTTTGTCTGATGTTGCGTTTAAACACAGCCGGAGCAGCTTTAGTTTTAAAGTTGCGTCTGGAGCTTTCAGTCTTACATGAGGGAAGTTTGATTACAACTAATAAATGGGGCCAGTCTTTAAAAATTCTCTTTAGTTGCAAATGGAAAGCGGCCAAGTTCTTGTGCGCAGACAGTGGTTTCCTGTGTGAGCCGTATGGTTTCACGCTCACATCCCCTCATGCATGCATGTGCACGCTGCCTCAACTAATTAGTACCTCTCTTTTTCGCAGGGTCCTGTTATATCCTGGCAGACACATGGACAGGGAGAAATAAAACCGTCAGTTCAGGTGAGTATTTCAAACCTCTCACTGCCTCTTTTGGGCTTCCTATCGGTTTTTAACTGTACTTCCTTTACAGGCCCTCCACCTGACCTCTGGGGTAAGTCCTAGCTGTGGGACTTGATGTTGGTGGGCCCACAGAGCTGGCGTGCATGTGAGAAAGAGGCAATGAAGTCCAGTATGAGGCACTGGCGGAGGCTGATGCTGGTGGGAATACTGGCCTGGGCTCTCTTCTTTCTCGCCCTCCTGTCATATTTCCTGGATGCTCGTGTGGATGAGCCCCTTACTTCTGCTGGTGCTTTACTCTCCCAGCACCCAGACACACGCCGTCTGACCTCCATACAGGCCTCCCATCAACAGCATGCCGTGGTAAAGCTGACTTTGCCATTAACTACAACGTATCCCAGAGATAAACCGGAGCTGGAGCCTCTTGTCAAGTCCGGGACCCCAGAGACCAGCCTGGAGATGAGCCAGAACCCAAACAATCTTCCTTACGCTGTTTATGGCAGCCAGGAAGTAAGTCGCCAGGACTATCTTGACCCACAGAGCCTGGCAGCCTGGTCTTCCTTTGGTACAGAAAATGTGGGTTCTCACTCAGATCCTGTAGTCCAGAGTCGTGAGCGACAGTCACAGACTGCAGACTATCAGAACCACTTCAGCAACACTCAATACCAAGGTGGCAGGGAGGAAGGTGATGAAAAAGAAAATGAAGATCTGGGAAACAGAAGGAAGAACAGAGTACACAGTATGGCCGGCGATGACTTCTCTGATCTGGAGGAATTCTATTTCTCCAAATCCATCTCGCTAATAAAGCGGCTCTGGAAGGGTCGAGTGTCGGCAGGCATGCTGAGTCTTCGACTGCAGCGTGCCATGAAGGAATACGTCAACTCCAACAAACACCATGTTTCCTACAAGGGGAATCGCAAGCCCGCTCAGAGTGCCAAGGAGCTGCTTTGTGAATTGAAGAATCAGGCCCGGCTGAGGACAGTAGACGGGTTGGAGCAACCCTTCTCTTCACTTGGCTGGGCTCGTCTGGTGCCATCCCTTCCCCTGGAGCAGCTGTACAAAAAGGAGAACAGGAGAAGCTTCAAGACCTGTGCTGTGGTCACCTCTGCTGGGGCCATCCTTCGCTCACGATTAGGCAAAGAGATTGGTAAGCACCAAATAAGTCACTTTCTGGCATTTTCCAGAAAAAGTCTACTGCAAACGTGTATTCTGTTGAAACTTGTGCAATTACAGATACTTTTCCCCGAATGTCTTAAATACAGCACTATAATAATTATGTAATCTAAATAATTTCCATGAAATTCTTTATAACAAATTATGAGACAAAGTGGGGCCGGTGCTGCAATTAGAAGGCTTTGTGTGTCTCTGACAGTAAAGGCTAAAGTGGAATTCAATCCTATTCAACAGTAGTAAATTTCACAGAAATTAGTCTGTGAAGAAGTCTTAGTCTTAGTCTCAGTCTTGGTCTCAGTTGACTGCAGGTGAGTGCAGCTGACTGAAACTAGCATCAAGTCACAGGATGTAGAATTTCACTGAAGTGTTTTGTGGAGAAACAGCAATACTTGGAATTAAGTAGGAACAATAACAGGTTGGACATGTTACTGCTGCCAAATAAAGGTGTCCCCTGTACCTAATAATAAATTACCATTAAATGATTCATTAGATTGTTTGATTGCTGCACAAAAGACTCGCCTGTTCTCTAAGTGTCCCACTCAGGAGTGGTAGTCTGAAGGTCAGCACATTTCCACTTTGTGCCTGCAGAGATTAGCATTTGCTCAGGTTTTTGTGTGGCTTTTGCTGATTAACTTGTCAAGCTGATTGTGCGCAGCGTTGAGTGCGTGCCTAGTAAGCTAGATATCTTTGCATTTGAATGTGTGCGTTCTTGGTTTAGAGACTTTTGGCAGCTCTCCGGTAAGTGGGGAGAGTGTGAATTCAGTGACAGATGGCTCCGCAGAAAAAACAGAACCCCCTCTGGTAACCAATCAGGCCTCTTCACATCACATATAGCTTCCTTGCATTTCTCTCTGAATTCAGCTGTTCAGGGCAAGCGCTAGAATTAATAAGAAGGTCTTCAGCTTTGTGGCTTGAATTTTTTTTTTTACATCTCTATAGACTGATACGGGTATACAGATGTCACTGCCACAGAACACGTTTTACAAGAAAGACAAGAAAGTACACCACACTAGGGCTGAACGATTATGGAAAATAATCTAATTGCGATTTTTTGCCCCAATATTGCGATTGCGATGCGATATGCGATTATTTTTTAAGGTATTTGTCTTCTGTATTATTAAACAAAGACAAGCAATACATCATATAGTATGGCCAATACTATATTACATTAATTTTAAACTGTTCTTTCCTGGAAGACAGACCTCTGTTATGATAACATGAGGTGATGCATGAATTGATGACTGACATTTTTATTTAACTTCTTCAATCACAACAGTATATTTGAACATACACAATAGTTTATTTTTAGCTTACAAACATCTGAGCATAAAGTGCTGACAAGGAACCCTGGTGTAAACATTAAAATGAAAGTCAGTACAATGTGCAGATTGCAGAAATATACATAAAAAAAATCAGTGGCTTTACCACACTCAGTTTTTCGACATCTGTGAACTACTAGACAGTCATTCAATTAAAAAATAATATTAAATAAATAAAACTAATAAATAAAAAATACACACATCTTACTGATCTCTGCAGTCAGTAACATTACACATAAAGTGCAAACATAATAGCAATTGTATAAACACACACACAAACACGCCTTTAAAATTTAAAGGCGTGAAATTGGACGGTCTAGCCTTCTGATTAGCTAATCAGAAGGCTAGTTCTGATTAGCGTCACCGCTGTCTCGGTGGAGTTTAATAAACTCGGCCGTCTGCTTCTTGCTATCTAAAATATAACCAGACACTGGTGTAAATTCTCGACTGTCTCATACTTCTGTTTAATAAGTTTTCTGTTTGACGTTTAGTCAGCTGTGTGAAAACCAAGGAGGAACCCACCCGGGGGATTAATAAAGTTTTATTTTATCTAATCTAATAACTTTAATCTCAGCCAAACCGATTTACTCACGAACAAACAAAACACTGAAAAAAGCCCAACAATAACATTTTTAGGTTGTCTAAGTGACTTATATATTACGTTTAACCCGAGCAGCGAAACTCCGCGGTGATCTGAAAATGATGTGCCAGGAGTTGTGCCGTTCTCGGCCGCATCAGTAACCCTTGAGCTCCCGGCTAGCTTTCGAGCTGGTGGGTAGCAGACGCCTCTGAAAACGTCGAAGCACTTTTGCAAATATGGGATATCTTGATAAACCGAGCAGATATTTGATGTTTACACAACTACTTTCTCGCCTGAAAATATGTTAAAAGTTTATTTTGTGACCCAGAAAGATTAGTATGAGTAATTTTAAAACTTAGTAGCGGCCGCCATTGCTGGAAACTGGAGTTTGGCTGGGCCGCGCTATGAATTCTGGGATATGGTAGTAATTTGGACAGCCTTCGGCGCGTCGCTGTGACGTAATCGGTCTACAAATGCGGCCTCAGGAGGATGCAGCCCATGAATTGTATAATATAATCGCAGTATAATCGCAGCCTTTGCGGTTAGAAAATTGCACTTGATCATGTCGCGATATTATCGCAAATGCGATATATCGTTCAGCCCTACACCACACAGAGAAATGGGTACATGCGGGCAATGGAAACAGACTTCTGCAGGTGACCCTTTGGTTATCAGTGAAAACATCGATGCCACAAGCCTTCAGTCTTTAGCGCGCTACTCTGTTGTGTGCTACTTGGAAATCAGCAGCAACATCTTTTCCTACAATTTGAAAAACATACAAGCCACCTCCCATTGTTAGTGCATGAACACGTGACTTGGTATACGAGAAACAGGTGACTGAGATGGGAATGAGTTTTCAGTTTCAGGCACCAAATCTAAATCTTTCTGTATCATCATCTCCCGTGTTTGATTTTGATGCCTGGCCAGTCATGTGTCCCATATGCATGTGCTCGCATACAAAAAATAATAATAATAAATTCTACCAGTGTTATACGGTACTTTAGTCACGAATTAAATAAAGAGCTGTTCTAAACAGTATCCTGAGTTGGTATGATTACACACAAACCTTCTTATAGAAAGCTGCTGTTGATGATTTCTGAGGTCACCCACATCTCAGTGTAAAAACAGCTGCAGGATACCCGTTCAGTGTGTAATCATCTACGTATTCAGTTAAGAGATGTTTAACTGATGTGCTGTAGTGTCTTGATAAATGGGACCGTTGTTATGAAGCTGATTATTTATTGAACAGCGTCACAGTGCTTTAAAAGAAACAGCATGTATTTGCTACATTAATTCTCAGGCTTAGCTTCAGCAGGAAATCAGATGGCATTGATCTCACTCTGTCTACTCATTCTCACCCTGTTGTACCCCCTGAAAGGCTTCTCTGTGCCAGAACCTGTATTTTGCAGGTATGAACAGTGAGTCATTCATTCATTCAGTTAACCTGTCCGGACTTGAATATGACGATCGCTCTAAATTTTGAGAATACCAGAGGCAGGTTGACTGACTTTTGGATTGTAATGTTCCTAAGTGTCTATACACCACTGAGGCCATGCTGTGAGAGTTTGTTGGTCAGGACTTGGTTCATAGTAAGTGTGGTGATGTGTGCCTGCCATCATGTGGTGAACACGGCAAACTGCATCCTCATTCCAAACACGGTATGGAGAAGATTCGTCTTTGGCAGGGTTATTCAGTTTGATGCTGCAGTAAAACACTCAATTCAGAGGTTTGTTTTATTTATCAGTGTTTAGACACAACTCTAGTGTCATTTATGTTTCAAATTTATCATGCGAGATAAGTAAATATGCTTGAATATCAGTGCTCTCTAGAAACTGTCTCATTTTCCTTGCAACTCTTAAGTATGGATTGTCTTGATGCATGCTCTATTATCCAGGTGAATTATGAGAGAGAAATAAGAGTTATGAGAATTTGCATATTAAGGATCAAGGAACTGACTCCAGCCCGTTGTTCTTTCAGTGGGGCTGGAGTCAGTCATTATGCAAATGGACTTTTTAAAAGATTGGGGAAACCTGCAGTCAGCTGCAACAGAAGAAGTCACTCCCACTGAAAACGCTACGTCCAGATGAACAGAATCAACTTTTGGGGAAGTCTGGATTGGTACCGTCCAATGGCAGTATTAAATATGTTACTGAAATGCAAGGCGTTTTTCCTGAACTTGTTTTTCCAGAATAATACAGACAGTTTTTTAAACTTGAACCAAGTCATATATACCTGTCCCTGTTTGTGTAAGGGGGATATTGGCCATGATAGTAACAAGAGACAAAATAATAAGCAGTTATTCATGTAACTCCATTTTACTTTAGTGAATAGTTATGGCAAAAAACTTCTTTTTCTTCTACTACTACAGTACTACTAGTACTTTAATCTCAGAATTCTGACTTTTTTCTCAGAAGAAGAAGATTTTTTCTAAGAATTCTGAGTGAGTCAGGAGTGAGCAATGAATTTTTTCCAGGAACCCCATGAGAAACTGGGCCGCACCACTCAGTTAGACTCAGTTCTGCTCTCATTAATTTTATTATTATGTGCTACGCCTTTACTAAATAATCCTTTTTTTTTATCCTTTCTTTCTTCTGAAGGTGTTAAATAGGCGTTTGGCCTCCATCAAGACAGAGGCTGATCGCTGCTTGAAGGACTCTTCTTTAAAGCCATCCTTCAGCTTGAGCTCTGTAGAGAATGGACATGTTTACTGTGTTTTATTAGGGCCTTGTTTGCTGTTGTGAAGCTGCTCTGAGTTGTAAACCTGCTGGTGGCAGTGATGAAGGGGTATCAGATCACAAGCTGAGGGATCATCCATTTTGGTGTTAGTTCAATGCAGGAGGAGGACGCCTGAAACTGACAGATCGATCAGCAGACAGGCAGGAATTAATTTGTAATTGTTACAGCAGCCATCCATCAAGGTGAGGATTTCAAGTTGTTGAGGACCGTGAAGGACATGTGAACAAAAAAAACCAGTAAACTCCTTATGTGAGCCATGGCTCTTTGTTTACCTGAGCCAACCACCGGTTACATCCCCGAGCCTGTCGGATATTGTTGTCAACAATTAGTGCAAGTGTGATTTTCATCCCTGTAGTCAGTGTGTCGTCACTGACTTTGGTTGAGGTGCTTGGTTATTGAGATGTTTGCCTGTGTTTTCTCCTCTAAATAAATTTGGACTAAGTAGAAATTCTGAAAGATGATGGTAATTGCTTTAAGACCTTGAAAACATGAGCTGGTAACATTTGGAAGAGACATCTGATATTTGTTTGTACATCTTCAAAGCCTGGCTTCACCCTTTAAGTTTTTTTTTATATCGCTATGAAGAAGACTTTTTATGGAGGGAAATTGTCTGTATATTTCCATGATAACAGATGCAACTCAAGGCCAGTTTGTTACCTTGCTTTGAAAGACTCCATGGTTTCCCTTTCAGACGCTCATGATGCAGTTTTACGTTTCAATGCTGCACCTACAGAAGGCTACGAGAGAGACGTGGGAAACAAAACCACTATCCGCATCATCAACTCGCAGGTGAGTTAGGATGAGGCCTTAAATGACAGTGAATCCTTAAAAGAAACAGATTTTAAAAAAATACAGTCATTTATATTTTCAACTCACTATTTATGTAGCAAAGTAATGCCTTTAGAAGTGTATAAATGGTCAAGTGTTTCATCCAAATGACGATGAGTTCATTGTACTTAAATAATCTGAACTCAATGGTATGAACTGTCATTAGCAGATAGATTAGTTCTTTGGAAAAAAACACCAACAGCTTCTTTAGTCTTTGTTTTGTGTAGTCTGTCTGGAGATGTTTAAACGTTTGCTTTGCCTGGCCAAAAAAACATATTTGTGTAATCATATTTACTGGACAGGCTTTATGTTGGTATCTGCCTCCTAGTCTAATTTATAGTAGGCACATAAAGAGGTTCTCTCTGTGTTTTTATTTGTATTTTGGCAAAATAGTGACCATGCATCTGAATGATTGTGCTTTACATTTGAAAGTAAGACTTACATTTCATGTGCTGTGTTACAGATTTTGGCAAATCCTAGGCATCGGTTCAATACGAGCTCTATCTACAAGAATATAACTCTGGTGGCCTGGGACCCCGCACCTTATGCTGTCAACTTACACAAGGTATATGTGTTTTCACTTTAGCAGTTTCAGCAGATCATTTTCAGGAGTATAGGAATATTAAAGCGGGTCGTCTTAGGAAAGTAAACACAGTTATTGTTGTGTATGTAGCCACAAACACATGTAGGAAAAGAAGCTTGTTGCCATGATGTCATCTCGTCTATCTCTGACTTCCACCTGCCCTTTAAAAGGTTTGGTTCATGTTAGCAAATGTGTCCAAAACAAGATTTTATTCCGAGGCTCCTTTCCCCTTATCCTCCTCTCCGTGCTTCCCGTTAATTGTTATTCGGTGAATGGCCTGATTGTTTGAGGTTAAATTATATTTGCATGCAGCCTCTGCTTTCAGTGATTTCATTTATCTGGTGAATTACATGAAATTTCTTTTTTTCATCATCATTATTATTATTATTATTATTATTTTTTTTAACGCTTTAATTAATTTTCTGAAGGACATCACCAAAACAAACAAGATCATTTATATTCCTGCATTAACCTTTAATCCTTTTAATCAGTGTTGTGCTGCTAGATTAGGTCCTTACGTCAGAATATATCAGATTAAGTAAAGATTTAAAAAATGGCTGATTTGTTAGTTTATTACTATCCATGCAAATAGAGTTCAAGCGTGCGTGCAGTGCATTGTTATATAGCTACAGTATTTGCCATACTGCTCACCCAACTGCTCACATAGCCAGTAGACAGCACGGTAAAGAACAGGATTACTGGATGTGGACTGATGGGGTTTTAATAAAGAACACGATGCTCCACTGACACTTGACCTTTGTCTCTACATCCGTGTTTTCAATTCTATCCTCGCTCATTGTCAGTAGTTAACCTTTGGAAATACTGGAAGGTGTTGTTGCTGTTGTCCAGTTTCTTGTAGCTTTTAGCACCTCGCAGTGTGTCTGTCATGTAGCTTTCCTTCTCGTATATAAGTTTGTTCAGTTTATTTTTACTTTGTATCCCATGACACTCGCCAAATGATTAAATGTGTTACATTTCTTAACTTTATTTAACTTAGATATAAGTAAACTGCTTGTTAATGCAAATATCTAACCAGCCAATCACATGGCAGCAGGTCAGTGCATTTATGCATGTAGACATGATCAACACGACCTACTTGAAGTTCAAACATAGTGTAAAAATGAAGAAGAAAGCTGGGGTTTTGAATATGTGGTTGTTGGTGGCAGATGGTCTGGTCTGACTATTTCAGAAATTGCTGAGCTACTGGGATTTCCGACACAACCAACAACCATCTCTAGGGTTTGCAGAGAATGGTCAGGAAAAGAGCAAATATCCAGTTTGGCAGTTCTCTGGGTGAAAATGCCTTCAAATAGAGACTGTTTATAATCAAGGTATGCAGAAGAACACACAACATGTCAAGCCTTGCCCAGATGGATTACATCTGGTTTTGTGAATGTTACAGTGAGTTCATTAGGGGTGCTAGTGGTGATATATATTTTCAGTGATATAGCAGGAAATTAACTAGGCATATAATTATTTTCTTTCTCCTTTCCCCCTTATTTTTCAACTAACCTGCAGTTCACAAGAGCATAATAAACCTGGACATTCTGTTTTTGGTGTGCCACCCCGATATTTTAGTGGCCCCCATATGGCCACCCCTATGAAAAAAATCTGGAGGCTCCCCTGATATTATACCAAAAAACAGCATGCATATATATATATATATATATATATATATATATATATATATATATATATATATATATACACACATACATATTATAAGTGCAGTTACTAATTATTATCCAATGCATGGATGCAGTAACTTGCATTGTGTGTTATATAGTTTCTCAAAATATACATTTCCAGTAGTCGGGTCTTTATTTCAAAGCCCTTACAAAGATTTACATTAAAAGCCATTAATTCATAATATTCAGCTCTCATGAATTAGTGGAACAACTGTTATTTAATTTGGCTTTTAATGATAAACTACAAATTATGAACAATGATTTCATGCTCTCCTTTATTTCTGCGGTCAAACTGGAGATGGTACAACTGATGAAAATGGACATGCACACTCCCACGAATCCATTATGAGTACTTGGCACACCGATTACATCAGTTTTCTTATGATTTCATTTGTCCAACTGTGATGTATCCCTACAGTGCACTTGCTGTCTTCAATCACAGTATTGTTCTCTACACAGCTGTGCTGCACCGTTCGTCTAAGACACTTAACATTTTCTGGGATGTTTTGACAGCTTAAAATTTCAGTCAAACCACTTGATTGACTCCAGAGCCCTTCAATTTCCTGACCTGAAATAGTCTCTTACATAGTTTCAATGACTCTAAAGTTTTTAGCATAACAGCCACGCTACTATAAGACAGCAGCTCACTGACTTTTCTGTTGAGAGGCTGACTTGTTGGTGGGAAATTATCAGTATGCACTAGGCTTATATCTGCAAAAGGTCCTCACCTAAACCAGGATTTGTTCTGCACATGCACACACTTCCTGTCTGAGCATTTAGTGCAGCTACATCGATTTGTTCCTCCGCTATGATGTTATTTCAGGAAATTACATTTAATATGCTTTAGTTCTATTTTGTTAAATGCATACCCTGTAAGCCATACATTATTTATGTCCCTGGGTAACAACACAAACCTCACATGAATAAAACATAATCATCTAAACTGTGAAAGAAAGCATAAATACAATTCAAATGTATTCCAGAGCCACTCAACATGATACAGCATAAAACAGCAGTGACGGACGTTTATCTGTATGGGCGTTTTGTGTTTTTTTTTGCAATGTTCGCAGTCTGAAGATACATTTGACTAAACTTCAGCATCCATTCAGAGGAGTTTTTGTCCAAACGTTAGAGACTGACAGATGTTTGCAAAGGGCTGCACTCTATCTTTAAACATCTTTTCCTTCTTATCTTTTGCTTAAGGGGGGCTTTTTTAGCCTTTGAGATAGGGTGGTGGAAAGAAGACAGGAAACACACAGCCATGAGTCGATTCAAACTCAGGCCTCTGCAATAGCCTTATGGCATTTGGGCCACCTGCTCAACCCAGTGAGCGATACTACTGTTGCTATTTTTGTATTGACTGCAGTCTTCATTGTTTTGAATAGTAGAAAATCCTCTAAATATCAGAAACATTTTTAATTATTGGAAAAAAAATCACGTTGTCTTATTCTTATCTGACTCATGATTTGAGATTAAATCTGTCTGCTGTGTTATCTCTCGTCAGTGGTACACTAGTCCGGACTACAACCTGTTCGGTCCATACATGGAGCACCGCAAGCTGCATCCTGACCAGCCCTTCTACATCCTTCACCCTAGCTATGTGTGGCAGCTCTGGGACGTGATTCAGGGCAACACAGAGGAGGACATCCAACCCAACCCCCCATCATCTGGCTTCATAGGTGAGTGCACACTCACGCATGTCTTGCATGCGTGCAGTGGTTGCACATGTGATGCACGTCTGTCCCTTCAGCTGCTTCTTTGTTGTTATCTTTGCAGATTGTTGCCCGCTCCTATAGCAGATATATATGCACACAAACACACGCACGCTTGTTTGCTGATGGTGTCACTGAATGCACAGTGACACCATCAGCAAGTGGCAGGATTATGCAAAATACCAACACACTCGAAACCAATATATTTAAACAGACAGGAATGAAGATATGCACTTCACCTTCCTGTCCTGTTGCACTGTGCATTCTTATACATGATGCTAGGAAAACGGGAAATTGGTTCGGTTGTCTTATTCTTGAAAAGCTGCACACATCCTGAACTTGCTAGGGAAAACTTTCCTGAAATTTCTTTAAGTAGTCTTCATTGAATTGTTGTCCAGGCTTCTTGAAAGATTTTCAAAGCTCTTTTTTGGATGTTGTATTTTTTTAGGCCTGCCAATTCTTGTTTTGTCCTCCACCTATCAAGTTTCCTCAAATATCTCAAGGAAACACCGCACACCATGCTGAGATATGGCTATTTTTCAGCTAAAAGCTCTTTGAGAATCACCTTAGTGGGAAACATACTATATTATGCTTGTCAAACTGGCATTTTCCAGATTCGTCTGAAAAGATTCTGCTAGAGAAAAAAAACCCACATTTTTTGAAACAGGAAAGCAACAAAGACTCCACAAGAACACGAAATCTAAGTAGCATTCACGCTAGTGAGCAGATATTTGGTGTACAAAGGGAAAAACTTGCAAAAGCATAAATAAAGCATCAGCTATAAAATATCTAAACAGCATATTAAAAAAAATAAGTCAATTCAAATTCAGCGGACTGCAGAGGGTTGCACATGAGCGCAGAGGAGAAACTGGTCACTCTTTAATCTAATTACACTTTTCTTTTAGCTTAATCCAGCAGCTCTGCTGCATCACAACCCAGGAATCTGCGCTTTGGTTTGCCGTGCATCGGGCGACCCACGTTACAGCTGGTTTTCATTGTGACTGCACTTGATAATCTGTGAATCAGTCGCTGATTACACAGCTTAAATGGAAGGCAAAAGAGCTTTACACTGGAGAAACAAAACCCTGCTGAAGTGTTAGGCATGACTGCCTGTATTTAAAATGTCACAATGTTCCTTGGAGGACTCTGTTGTTTATATTTGTCATGTTACTTTAAATTAGACTGTTTTCCACTCAGCTGAGATTTTGACCTTCAGGGGAAAATGAAAAGCCGTCACCCATCTGTTGCTGTTACAGGATGTGTTTCCATTCTTTTTGGTTTTAGACATTGGCGTTTTGTCAAAAGTGATTAAGAAAAACGTATTATTTTCTGTTTTGTCCTCATTTGCACCTCTTTCATTTAGGAAATACAAGAAAAGGTTCCTTTTGCTTTTTATAATATTCACAATGTCACACCATCCTCCAACCTAATTTACGATGCATGATACGTTCCTTTTTCAGCAGCAGACATTTTTATTAAATCATTTGAATCCAGCAATAAAATACAATTAAACTGGTGACGATAATGTTATTTGTAATACCCAGCATTTCTGAACAGACTACTCTTAAAATTAATTTCATCCGAGTCACAATTACAAACACAATTTGACTTAACTAATAACACAGTGCTTTTCTTGTTTTTATTGAATACACTGAGCAGTCAGCTGCATCGCAGACTGGAAAGAGTAAGCAAAGCTTTTGTTGTGGCTTATTTTTTTGCTTGCAGCCTCTTGAAGAAGCACCAACCTCAATCACACATTTTCTGAAGGTCCTGAATGGCACCGCACAAAAGTGAGGAGGAAAATGACTCATCAATATTTTCTGCAACTCTATGTCAGTGGGTTGAGGTCTGAGCACTCTGACCTCACTTATAACTCCCTTAATCTTGAGCAGGTCCTGGTCCATTATAGTTCTAGATCTACAAAAGCAGTAAAATACTGATATCTGCTTTATGTCTTGCAGTTGTCATTTAAGCAAGGCCAGCTAAATGTAATCAGTTTCCCTAAATTTGTGCATTGTGTTTCCCAGATATGCCCGTAATGTCCATCAGTCATCAGACTGGAATCCTTTTTCTGTGGCTGGCCGTACTGGATAATCATTTTGAAACACTGGCCCTTTTATTCCGGAAAGAAGATGAAATCATACCTGCAAAAACTCCTGCAAAGAAACAACTTTGTAAGACCAACTAAATCATAACCAAAGAAAGCACAGCACAAACACAAAAACGAACACAATTCAAATAAACGCCTTCATGCAGAACAAAACTGAAGTACACGCATGATAAAGGTTCTGGGGGCTTAACCTTTCGAATTCTTCAACATTTAAAGCCAAAGCAGCAGGAGGGAAAGAGGAAAAGCAGAGTTAAATGATGCTTTAAATGATCCTTGCTGATCAAATCACAAGTCTGCGCAGTGACCTCCCCATTTACAGTGACACAGCGACTGAAAAGCAGCAAGGAACAGGCGCTGTTTTACTGGGTTTTTTTTTAACTCTTTGTTTAAAATGTAAATTTAAAAAAAGATCCTGTAGTTCAAAAAATAAATTTGGCCTTTTTAAACTGTAGGATGAAAACTAAGAATATGTAATATACTGAAATATATATAATATATACTGAAATGAATGTAATGCATACACATCAGTTCGGAAACAGACTAAAACCTTGAACCCACCACAGTGACGGTGCCCTTTATTAAAAAATACATATTTTTAATAGACGCAAAAACGTAGAAATAAGTTTGAATGAAGTTCTTACCTTTTTTTTTTTGCATGTACTGAACAGGAGAAGGTGCGTGGTGGATGATAAAACTGATTGATACCAACATGTCTGGTTGCATCACACATGGGTGTACATGTATGTGTGCATTTGCATACTTTACATGCATTTCTGTGGTCGTTTAGCACTTTTGTGTTATGTATAGTAAAAGAAAAAAAGGTTTAAAAGGGCACATTTATGGTCTACAAATACAAGTTTACACATAACACGAAAAAGCACATCTACTTTCTGAAAGCTCTTGTCCACAGTCCACCGGAGTTCACATTCTGGGTTATTCGTGCTTCATTGTGATGGCGGTGATTCCTGTCTGATTAATGCTCATGTTCAGGGGGTGACCTCTGGAGGGTTTGTGTGCTTGGTGTCTGCGGTGCTGTAGCACTGGTTGAGAGCTTCGGTGGAGATCTGGGCGGTGCAGGCCACCGTGTTGCTGTAGACGCGCCGGTTAAGGTGGATTACCGTAGTCTTGGACGGCATCGAGGTGTCGCCTTTCTCCGATGACCAGCGATCGCAGTGAAACAGAATCAGGAAACACCTGTAAAACTGAGAGGGAGAGGAAAATAGTGGAATCACTGCACACTCACAAGCAGGTGAAGGTGTTTTACAAACAGTAAACTGAACTGAAGCATTTCTCACATATAGTAAAGAAAAAATTATTTGCATAGGGAAATGGTGCTGTCTGGATAAGTATGCAGGGTAGTGTATACAAAAGTTCACTTGGTGGCTGTAAATTTATTGGCCACAGTATTCTGTCAGGGGTGAAATCGAACATCGGACTTTTTTCTGCTTTGCACTCTGGGTCAGTTTCAGGTTAAAGAGCATTCAGCGTTTGCTCTCAGTCTGTTAGATATCTGTGTTCTCCATTGTTTTAAGGTCTTGAACCTTTCAAGACTGGAGTGCATATGCAAATGAAAATGGCCTAATGGTGTGTTCAGACTCACCGAAACTGTTGGTTTGCTTTTTGGAAACCGCAAATATTTTTTAGCCAACACCAGAAGCAAAACTGCAAATAGAAGAAGGCACTTTTAGCTGCTCTCTTATTTCCCAAAGAATCTCCATGGCGACTGGATCTGCATATTTTGATTTGGCAAAGATTTTATATCCTTTCATACTCTTCCTGACAACAACCGCCTTATTTATCCAGGCTGGGGACTGACAGCAGGAGTACACTAGTTGTAACCCCCTTTGGACTTTTTCTAAAACACTATACCAGAGAGCCACTAGAAGGAGAACTTCAGTATGATTGAGAACTCATTTATGATGTTGCCAAATTTTCTCCAAGCATTCTCCTTCTTTTTTTGCTGCACAAATATGCCTTTACATAAACTCTATGTGTAATCTAACTGTAAATAATTCCTTTAATGTTCCCAAATTGAAAACGAAGTGATGCTTGGGAAAAGAAAAGGATCTGTTGTCGTGGTAAAGCAGGTTACCTCCAGCACTTGGCGCTTCATTTCTTTGGAGGTCTATAGCACAGAACTTGTTAGGGTCTTATGACATCCTTAGGATCTTGTGGAAGTGACTCATCCATCCAAATTACAAATCTGTCATCAGTAACTCGTGTTTTTCAGCTTTGCCTTCATATTAGTGGAATACAGTTGTTAGGGGGAATATAGAATTCTAATAATGCCACAGACCACGGAGTCAAACTTAGCCCTCAGTCATGGTGGCAGCTCATCTGTTGGTACCTTACTGTTGGAGGTCTTGCTGCAGCTCTCCCCACTTCAGGTCTTGCACAATGGGGGAGTGGAGAGGTCTCAGAACATATCATCAGCCATACCAACAAATATAATTACTGTGGAAGGGATAATTATTCTCTCTGACTGAAGAGTCCTTGTTAAAATATATGTGTGAGGTCACTGTTTTTTGTTTTAGTTGCATTTCACAGAAAAATCCAGAACTTGCTGAAGCAGGCAAAGTCGAAGTCTTCATATATTATTCACAGTGTTATAGTTTTCTCCTCCCCTCTTTCAGCACAGTTGAGCTTCACATTTAGTCTCTTTGCACATTTTCAGATCTAATAGAAATTTGTCAAGTTTGTGCTAAATTCCTTTTCCGAAGACGTATCGAATGCCCGAAAGGCTCGCACACCTTTGATAATCAGATGTTTCCCACCAGGCCGTGTATTTATTATCGGCCCACGCTGATAGCGACCTTTACGAAAACTGAAAGGATTTACCTTATCTCCCGGCTTTAAGAGTTCCCGTTTTGTGAATGTCACGACGGGTTTGTAACGTCTCTACTTTGATCCCCGGAGCAGATAAAATAAAATGGATGTCATTAACTTCTCTTTGGCCATAAGTTTAGATTTTGGTTTTACCAGATTGCTTCCAGGTGTGAATGTGTGTTTTGACAGTGGTCCTGGGGGACTATTGCCTTGAAAAAAAAGAGAGAATAAAAGACAGGAACAGAAGGTTTTAGCGTTGTATTTTATAAGTATATGTGTTGTTTTTATGTTCTAATAATTTTGTAATGTTTGGACCTCAAATGTTTGGCTAAAAAGTTGAACTCTAATTTAGTTGGCAAGTGTTGTGTGAAAATATTTATTTTCTCCTGTATGCTGACATTGCAGGTATCCTCCTGATGATGGCGCTGTGCGAGCAGGTGCACGTGTACGAGTACATTCCCTCCATGAGGCAGACGGACCTGTGCCACTACCACGAGGCCTACTATGACGCTGCGTGCACACTGGGTGCCTACCATCCTCTCCTCTATGAGAAAAGCCTGATCCAGCGAATCAACATGGGCCCCGTGAGTGACCTCGAGAGGAAAGGACGCGTCACTCTTCCAGGCTTCAGCACCGTGAACTGTGACATCTGATATATGAAGCCTGGCCTCATGAGCCCGGACGTCACGCACACACTTCTGGCCTTTTCAGGCTGACCATGGGAGAGGTGCAATAATGCCCCTATGGACAAGGAGGTTGAAGCTTGCAAGTTTCAAATAAAACCCATGAAGAGCATAAGCCATAGCCCCCCAGGGATGGATAAACATAGAGGTTTCTGAAAGACCTTGTCTTTATTACGATGGTATACTTGACCAGAGGCTGGAAATTAGAGTCTCCAGGGTGGAGCTGAAAAAAATAAAATATAATATCAAATTTCTCTCTGCTTTAGCTGAGCCACGTTAGCTGTGGAGCTGACTAGGGTAGCAACTGATCTTGTTTTAGGTAGGCAAGTGAGTTTTTAATAACTGGGTGTGTTTCCAGTGATGTAAAATCTGTGTTTCTCAGTACTATGGATGGTTTTCCACTTTAAGGAACTGTCACTCTTTATAACGGCGAATTGTATAATTATTTTTTTTATATATATATATATATATATATATATATACTGGTCCAAAGGGTTGTGAATAAACAAATCATCCATGTTGAATGTCATAGGTACACAAACTCGACACAAAAGTACATGCAGAAGAATGCAAACTAAAAGAAAGATGAGAGGAGCTGTCAAAGCTATCACGTTACTGTACATATTCCTGCAAAATCATCATAATGAGGGGTTGATTTCATACTACTGAGCTTATTACTGAATTATTGTTCTGTGCACGCTGACTGATAACCACCAGTTTGTCACGTTTTGTTTGGGGGGGGCATTTGTGTACTTAAATCAGAGTAAACGGGGCCAAAACAGAACAAACAGGTACTCAGAACAGCCGTGACCCTGTGCCTAGCAGTCAGCTGAACACTTTCCTCGGGTTGCCTTGTGACTGTTCAGACACATGCAGTACACACTCTAGCAGGACTGCAGTACCAATCAGTTCGATGTGTGGAGCAGTAGACTTTCCGAAGTGATGAACATCAGGGGATCCTCCGCTCTGCCTCAGCAATCACCAGCCCCTGTTTGTGACGGTCAGTTCACTCTCTATTGAATGTAATTTTAACACTGCGTGTTGTGGCCAAACCCTTGCTGGAGCTCATCTCTGTGGGGTTATTTCTTTATTGCGTAACAGCATGAAGTGCATTCCCTACAACTATAAATGTCTCATATTTTCTGAATCCTCTGGTATTAGTCTGTGCCTACCCGCAGCTCAGAGTAGAGACAATTATGAAAAAGGAATTTGGACCTGTACTAACCTCGGATTTACTTTGTCTCCAAGGTAGGGGGGATTTTATGTTTACAGAGTGCCGTGTCTTCAGCGAGCTCGAGGTATTCGGTGTGTGGGAATGAGAGCATCTTTTTTTCTTTGTAACAGATTGATCTTGTGCCATTCGTTGTGGTTTGTTGAAAGATATGAAAACACAATAGAAATGTTGCTTTAAATAGAATGATGTCGCTCTTCAGTAGAAACACTAGAGCATAGTATCATTTAGATAATAGCTGGTGTTAACAGGAGCTGGATAATATCTGGAATTTGTCAGTATTTACCAAAGGACATAAGCTTTTTTTAACCCCCTCCTGAAAAAAACATTTACGACTTAGACAGCTAAAGACATGAACATGGATCCTTATTTTAACCATGTTTAAGACCAGTTACTACCACTGGTGGGTTTTTTTTAATTAAAGTATTTATGTACTGTAAATTTTGATATTATGCATTTATGTTTACCAGATTTAATAATCAGATGGCAATTCAGTAAATTACATGGATGACAAACGTACTGCTTCACATAAAGGGAAATCAAAAAATCAAGAATTTGCTCATTCTCACAAGAGCTTTTTCTTGCACTCGTGTAGCTGACTCAGTTGAAGTTTTATAAAAATATTTTGAAGTTTTGCTGTGGACACATTTCTTTTCCAAACCCCCATAAGTACTTGCTTTTTGTCCAGACAAGTCATTTGACTTTTCAATTAATTAAATTAGTAGCTGTAGCAGGTGTATGACAAATATTTGGATCATTTTGCAAAAATGTTATGTATTTTATTTTTTTCAAATCTCCCACTTTAATTTTGAGTTGATGCACAATATCCCCCTAATTTCTAGTTAACAATGTAACATAAAATCTTACGCCCACATACCTAACAACTACACGTGATTACTATATGGAGGACGTGATCTTTCTCTTAGAGCTCCGAAGCTGACAGAGTTGGTGAATATCAACCGAGCACAAATAAATGAGGCGCCAGTGATTGTTCTGTAGAAACAAGCAACATTTCTTTGTGCGATGCTACGAGTGTGTTCATCTGTGCCTGCTAGAAATCGAGTCTTAGTTGCTCCGTCCAGGTCGCCGTTTACACTCCGGAAGCACCGTTCACTGTTATCTTTGTGTTAGCATGTTTGCCTTTGCAGGTGCTTGTTGGGGTTTGATTCCGTGTTTGCAGCAGTGGATATCGGTCTCTAGCCTGGCCACAGTTTGCCCTTCACCATCACATCCATGTCCCTTTGTGCAATAATTTGGGAAATCTGCGCACACCTCTACACTCTGCCGTTTTTGTTCCCACACATGAGCACACGTGAAAAGGCATTTTTGTCGTTTTTGTTGGGTTTTTCCCCCTATTTGCTCAAAAAAATGAAGAACGTTTGTAATGTGATTAACAACTTGTTGTTTTATTTGTAATGTTATTACTGAATTAGCTCAGTAATGCCAAACATTACAGCAATAGTGACAAATGTAATGCGATTGCAGTAACGCATAACTTTGTACTCTGCAGTACACCCAATCTTGACTGTAACAGAGATTTTAATGTATAGAGGAGGTAGTTTAGATGCTTAATAAAGGACTTATGATTCATTTTAAACAATGCAGGTTTTTTCGCTCTGCTGTACGTCTTATAATTGCGATAAACGATAAAATGTGCTTGTGATTGTAGCACACTGAAGGTGTGAAAGCCCTGAACGTATTGTACGTGTGCATTGTAGTAACAGGTTACTTTCCAATGCACAGAGCATGCAATTCAGGAGCAGGGCTAGGTCTTAAACTGTCTGTGCTGTACTGTGATGCAAGTAGGCACCATTGTCTTTAATGTTGTGAAAGGCATTCGTGCTTGCAAGGTTTTCTTTTACTGAAGTGATGTTTTGCAGATTTTATTGCATGCTTGTGGATCACATTCATCTGCAGTGCGGCTATCAGCCGCTCCATGGAAGTGCTTGATCAGGTGCAATGCCTTCTGGCTACTTCATCTTTGCATCTTTAATATTGTGCCAAATCCCATCTTTAATTGTGTTCCAGTTTGGGTGGGTTATTCATGGGATGAGGACTCAGAGTAACAGTAGGACTTCTTAGGTGCTTCTTTCTGCAAAAGTCGAGCTTAACTGAATTTTGTATTCTTTTTAAGATGGGACATTGTAGTCAAACTTGACATTAACGTTCTTTGGTTGTGAAGTAGTGAGTTGAAAAATATGTTTGAAGACATGCGTGTAACATTTACCACTTCGAGCCTCTTTCTGTCTGCTCTTTACTCTCGAGGCCTATTTTTCATGTCGAGTTTTTAACAAGTGTTGTGGGGATTTCTGTACCACACTGCCTCTGAAGAATTGTTTAACATTTGTTCTTTCTATAACTACCTTTTTGCAGTATTCTTTAGATGAGGAAGAGGAAAGGAGTGAGTAATGAGAGTGATTGTTCTGTTTCCCTTTTAAGAGCCTTAGGGCATTGTTCTTGATTTTTTTTTTATTTCTCTTTGGTCAGTGAAATCTCTTGATATTACACTTGAATTGATATTTAAATCAAGCAGTTCTATGATTTCAGCTGTTGTTTGTCTTTTTCTACTGTGTAAATAAAGCTGTTGTACATGTTCAAATCTGTTTTTCAGAATTATAACTCTTGATTTTAGGTAAGACACGCACATGCACATAATAGCGACTTACCTGTTTGTTCATAAGTATATAGATGAGGGGGTTGATGACGGTACTGCTCTTGGCGAGCAGTGAGGGAACTACACTGGCCACGGGGCTAATGATGTTTGGTGGGCCAAATGTTGCCATCATTGCCACGACACCATAAGGCATCCAGCACAGCAGGTAGCAGGCTGCAGTGGTCAGCACCATGAACAGAATGTGGTACTCTCTCCTCCGGGCTGCAGTCTTTCGGATCTTACCCACCTGCGAATAACGGAACAGGAGAGAGAGGGAAAAAAATATTTCTGGAAAATTTTGATTTGAATTTCCTGAAGTGTGTCTTATATCTAAGAAACGTTAAAATTACTTCTTTTTCACTGCTCTCATGTAGTAATCACAAACAAAATGCAGCAGTAGCTCACCTGGCTCATGAGTCATCACAAATCTTACACTGAAAAAAAGTGACTGGCCATCTCTTGGGTTTATGTAAACATCTTGCGTGTATTTAACACAATTGCCTCATGCTCGGTATACCGAAAAAAGTAAATTGGGTGGTTGTTACATTAATAAAGTCTACCTTGTAATTTGAACACAAAAATGTCATGTTTCTATCTTGAACGTAATTAAATCGTGGATCTGTATGAAATTCAACAACTTAATTTGTTCTTGTTGAGATGACATGATACAATCTAGTAAGAGTGGTTAGTTTCTGGACTGATGAAATTTACAAGATCGCAGGAGATTTCAAACTGCAGGAAAATCACTGGAGTTATAAGAGGCAGACAACTACACACACACCCACGTGTATGCTTTTGCTATTTATTGTGGTTTAACCTGTCATGGACAAAAAACATACAAAAAATTCTGCATCAAGCCTTAGAAATCATAGCTTTCCTAGTTTTGTTAGCCTTGGATTGGTGGCATGGTGATTAGTGCTGTTACCTCACAGCAAGAAGGTCCTGGGTTCAAATCCACAATCTGGGTATTCTCCCTCCCACAGTTAAAAGTCATGCAGTCATTAGAGTTTAGTTAGGTTAATTGGTGATTCTAAATTACCTGTGAATGTGAGTGCAAATGGTTGTTTGTCTCTATGTGATAGACTGGTGAATTATCCTGACATATTTTTAGATATATTGGCAAGTATTTGAAAATGTCTCTTTTATAATTATAGTTTTCTGGGTGCTGTTAAGGTTCAAAATTGAGGAGGGAGAGTACAAACCACCCATGGTCCAGGAGCTCTTGGTCAAACAATGATTTTAATGAACACACGTGTGGGAAGAACACTCTGTACGCCGACAGCAAGTGATCTCCAACTTAATCAAAGCATGAACAGATATTTTATAGCATCAGGGTTTGATTTACTGACGCCCCTTCATGCGTCACAGATACATTTTATACATAGATCAGATCAACACCACAATGACTTTTAACCCAGAAGATCATCTTCTATTTTCATGGCTGGTACTTTCCGTTCTTGTCTTAAAGTGAATTGTTCCTCTTTCACCGAGACATGACTAATCTCTCCTCTAAATAAATCTAACTCATGTGTGTGTGTGTGTTGACCTCACATGCTCTTTCTCAATTCACCTGTTGCACTTCTGACCTTTCACCAGACCAGAGGCTCACTGAGACTATGTGTATGTCTTCTACTAAATAAATGTTTTAACCAAGAACCTCTACTAAAACCTTAATATGAAATGATCTGATATATAAGTGTTTTGTAAGCATGTACTGCAATTCCTTCTATGGCTCCAAGTCACTTGCACAATAGATTGTCCGGACATCGCGCCGAACAAAGCTTCCAACCCCCAATTAATTGACCGAGCTCCAACTCTTTAATAAGCACAGATATGCATTGTGTATAAAATAGTCATACTGCACCTGAAATACAAGGTCAACATAATAACTGTATGCATAACATCTTAAGGCCTTCTTAAAGCTATCTGTTACATTGTTAAAGCCTCGTCTTAGCCTGCTGCTCAAAATAACTTTCACTTCTGCAAAACTCTCCAAGCCTGTTTCCTGTCCTGTTACTTTTAGCCTTTCTGAAAGACACACACTGTTCAACCCCTGAATGCAATATAAACTCCAGATTATATTATTAATGCAATGGTAATAATGATGATTATTTAACAATAGCAGTAAAATAATTTCCCTGCTCCACAGTGCAACCATTTAATTTTCAATCCCATGAGAGCCCACTGATTAAAATTAATAGCAAGGGTGAGTACTCATATACCTCTTTTCCACCAACACAATGTCAGTACTGGTGTGGACCTAGTTCCTCCTTATTGAGTGGTGAGAACCATGCAAACTTTGACAGGTTTGACAACTGAGGATTATTTAGCTGTCTGCCAGTCGTTTTTTAGTGGAAATGCACGGAAGTCTAGATTGGGCACTGGCACAAGCACTGTGTAAGTGAAAAAGCCATATATCTCCTTATCACTCCAACGCTGCTGGTCGATTGTTAAAGGTGTAATGAAACATATTCTAATTTGAATTCGTGATTATGTGACTAGATTTATATGTGCTGAAATGTAGCTTCTCTTTGCAGGAAGTTAGCTAGAGCAAAGGGAGTGATGCACATGGTGTTTTTTTAACACTTGTGACTTGGACACATATTTCAGTAAGTAGTTCATTTATTATTTCTGTCTAGTTTTGAGTGTATTTTATAGTGTTTGGCAGTTTTCTGATGTTTTTATTTTTGTCTAATTTAACAAAGCTAATTTGAAGGTGCTATCCTTGGTAAGCTAGCCTGTTAACTGTTACTGAAAAAGTAGAGCACTCACAAGTTTTTATTAGTATCATTAACATTCTATTACAGTGTACATATAGTAATATGTGTTTTTTTTCTGTATTCAGTTTTATTTTTGTGGTAATTCTTCATTAAACATTGTAAAGTTTCAAAGTAATCAAGGACTTATAGTTTTATTGAAATATCAAAGTGTTAGCTAGCTTTCTACCTCTGCCAGAACCCTGCTGTGAGGATTGCATACCAAACAGTTAACACAGTGAGGAAATTGTGTACTACTGAGCAGCAACTTTAGAAGAAACTATAGTTGGTATTGCCAAACTGCTTGGCCACCCCACTGTACACCATATGATGACTACTAGTTAGGAACATTTAGTATATGTTTGTGATTTTTTTCCTCTTATATAGTGAAACAGCTCTGGGGTCTGTCTAGTTTGACTGATCCAATGTTAACATCTGTCTTCTGGATGCGATTAGGAAATTATATCAACAAGGAGCTAGAGTGTCTTGTGCTTCCGCCTGATGCCCACCTGCTTTCCCCTCAGTATGTTTCAGCTTTTAACTGATTCCTTTGTCCAATATGTGTCATTTTAGCCTTGTGTTTTTTGCATGAAATCTTTAATATGCACAACAACACAAAAAAACAACATAGACTTTTCAACATCTTGAAACTTTGGCAGGACATAAGGACAATAAAAGCCTGGAGGAGTAAGTTTCATGACAGTACCCGACCTCCTTTTTTGATAACACTATTGATGAGTATTGATGTTTTTCCATAAAAAAAAATCACATTTTAATTCATCTGACTACAGCTTCACTAAATGGGCTTTGTTTTTTGTTTGTTTGTTTTTTTCTTTGCATGGCAAAGCTTTCATTTGTGTTGAACTATGTTCAGTGACGATAGATTTCTGAAGTCTTCGTGAGCCTTGAAAAGAATTTAGAGATTCCAATTCCATTATCAATATCACTTATGGATTAGATTCCTTGTCAATTCTCAGTGAGTTCTCATTGGCTCCACTTTAAAACATTACTTTTGTGCAAATGAACTGCATGCTCTGTAGTCAAATATTTGTGCATGTTGGAGATTTTTCAACATGCACTGATCACATCTTTGTTGTGATCAGTGTTGGGTCATTACTCCAAAAAAGTAATTTGTTACACATGTTACACAGAATATTTTTCATAAAGTAATGATGTATGTTTTACTTTTTAATGCAGTTAGTTACTGCTAGGAGAAAGTAATATGCTATAGTTAATAGTTATACTACTCATTGCATTACTTTTGTCTGTAAAATGACCTGAAAAAGAGTGTCTCATAATTACCATTTTCCAATTTCATTGTACTACTGTACTATGTATGACTGTGCAATGACAATAAAGAGTTATCTTATCTTATCTTATCTTATTTAACAATATAATCCTGAGATGGAGGCTGCAGCCTAACTGCTCCTCAGTTTGTTACCTGTTGAAGTTCACAGTCTGGTCACTGGACTGACACAGCTCACACAACTTTAATGTCACTCTGCGCTATTGGCTAGCTTAGCGTGCTGTCTGTGCTTGCCTGTCTTCAATGCGGTTTCCACTTTACCTTTGCGCTTTCATGCTTTGTTCAATAAAATATAAATAAAATGTCCATACCCACACTGCAGACTGCGGCACTGTTTCTACTCTGGCATACAAACTGAAATCAGCTGATCATACTACTGCTAGGGAGGAGAGTATGTCCAGTCATCAAACCTCACTCCAAGAGGAGCATTGGAGATTTGTCTCGAACACATAAACACTGGCTAACTGTGTTTTCTGAACTTGGGGAACTCATTTGATCAAGTCTCGTGGGAGTGCTTTGTGAGTATGGGGTATCAGACAATGCTGTGGGCCATCCAATCCCTGTTCATCTGTACTCTGAGCTTGGCTTGCACAGGTGGTTAGAAGTCAAAATCGCTGTCTGTGGGTGTTTGACTTTTCATAGATTTTATCTGTATTTATGTACAGAATTTCCAGGTGCAGTCAAGGGACTTGGGGTGTCAGGTTGGTTTCAGGATCTCGTCTCTGCTTTTTGCAAATGATGTAGTTCTATTAGCTTTACTGAGTGGGGACCTACAGCTTGCGCTGGGCTACTTTGCAGTGTGAAGTGGCTGGAATGAGATCACTATTGATTTACCTGTAAATCTACATCCCTACCTTCACTTATTACCACAAGCTGTAAGACAG